TTAATAAACTGCGAAATCAGTGATTGAAATAGAACAATAGAACTGTGCATTTTTTTCTATCCCTAAAACCGTCAGATCTACTGCGATTTAAACTACAATACAATATAATTTGGTAACTTAATCACAGATTAATCAAGAAATTTTTCCTGGAAAACGGTTTAAGAGATAATGTGCAGAAAATACAAAGCATCAGAAGCTTTTTGTGATAAAAAGAAAAACTTGTTCTGAATGTTTGACATGTAATAGTGTAAAAAAGCGAAAATATAAAGAAGGCTTTACTTTACTTCTTTATCTGATTTTTAAAAAAATGTTATTGATGTCAATTACATTTCTTAAAAGCGGGTTGCTTTTTGCAAACATTTAATTTCACCGCTAAGTAATATAGACAACTCTTTTTTAAACACAGTAATAAGATTCATCCATTTCTTTATGAACTTCAACAAACGATTTGGCAAGTTATCAAAAATAATATACTTGTCGCATTAGCTAATCCTGAAGTACTGAAATAGGATACTATAGTTTAAGAGGAATGTTAATAAGATTTCTATTTATTTACTTTATTTTTATAAGTTGTTTATATAATCTATAATTTTAATAAAATTAATTTATATGTTAGAACTAATAGACTATTATCTTTATAATACATTACTGTTAATATCTTACCGGCCTATTCTGACCCTAAATTTTGGTCAGTCTGATGAATTTTGGTTATGCGATTAATCTATTCCTAAAATTATCTTTCAATATAATTAAAACAAAAAGTTCGTTCCACTTGCTAATCGGATAATTACTACATGGCTATACAAATTGGTATAGGTCTAATAATCGTTACCATATCACCAGATCATAAACTGACCATGGCGTTTGTGCCATCTGACTAAGTGGCTTTTTTTTTATAAATTTTAAACGCCAGATAAAGTATGCAAATTCTTTTGTAAAGACATATCAGTATTAATGTAATATGATAATGAAATCATTCTAAAGGCAGTATCACTTTACTATATGCAAAATATCATTAATAATTATTCACGCATTATTTGTTCTACACAATAAATCATGCATTTACCTTTCATTAATTGCTTTTGGTAGAATTTCAATTATTTGCCTACTATTTAAACGTATTAAACATTTATTTGTTTGACAGGTGGATATGCTGCCTTTCTGAATTCACAAATACTTATTTTAGATGTAAGCAAAACCGATTCCTATCAATGAGTTACTGAATATAAACCAAATACTACAATCCTGGATTTTAAAATAATAAATAGTTTTCATAATACCAGTACGATCATTTGAAATATGAGAAGGTTGGTTTTGTTCAACTTTTTGATGTTCACTATGCTGATTTTTGCAAAATCCTTTTTCTAGAATAAATAATGGTTTTCATTTACCCGATTATAATAGGAGTTGTGATTATAAAATATGATCAATGTCATAGCGAAATATAAAAGTCGAAATTTTACTAAGTTAATCGTTATTTATGTCTTAAGTAAAGTTGTTCGAAAAGCTATATTCTGAAAATTTCAAGCAATTTGAATATTTTTTTATTGTCATCTTTGTGTTTTACGAAAAATTTTAAATTTTTTTCTATAAGCGTAAAACATAAATATGGCTCAATAAAGAGGCATTCAAATTACTTGAAGTTTTCAGAGTATGTGAAATTTGCTTTTTCGACATAAATATCGATTAGCTTTGTAAAATTTTGATTTTCATGTATGCAAATGACCCTAATGGCCTAAATGACTAGTTATTATTTGATGAATAGAAGTTATGATCAATGACCGGGTCATTTACCATTCCTGTTTTGATGCACAAATCATATTATATATCTATAAATTATTTAATCAATAGGATTTTATTTAAAGCAATACCGATAAAATAAAATAATCCAAATGTTATAAACTCTGATAATAAAAATTAACAACTAACATGACAATAAAGATATGCCAATTTTCTTTAAGGCATTTTATCTTAAATTCTTCTCTAACAATTTCTCCTTCTTCGATGCGTTTTTTTTCTTCTTCCATAACCTTTTCTAAATAATTAAATGAATCTAGTTTAAAAGATACATGATTATGTTTGGAATCTCTTCTTCTTTCATCATCAAACCAAAAATAAAATTTTCCATCATTGTGATGGAAATCTACATACATTTCTACCATTTTTGATTCACAAACAGAAAGGCCACGTGATAAAAATATAATAATAAAATATTTAAAAATACCAGGAAAGCTAATTGCTATTTTTTCGAAAATTTCGATTCTATGAAGAGGTTTGAAAAAATGTTTGAATGTTGCGAATAATATTATTGGGGTGGTACAAAATACGATGTTTACAAATTGAGAAAGTATAATAGTTATAAACAACAAAAATAAGTAACTTCGATGTTGTTCAAGCAAACTACTCAAGTCAGTAACGTTGAGAGAATATCGTCCATATATTAACAAGGCATATGAACTAAGAAATGGTAGTAATAGATAAGTAAGTTCTTTGGATATGATAACTTGTGCAACAATACTTAAATATAATAGATAAGTAAGTTCTTTGGATATGATAACTTGTGTAACAATACTTAAATATAATAGATAAGTTCTTTGGATATGATAACTTGTGTAACAATACTTAAATATAATAGATAAGTAAGTTCTTTGGATATGATAACTTGTGTAACAATACTTAAATATAATAAATAAGAAGCTAAATTTAATGCATCGAATGTTGGGCTAAAGTATATCGTAATGAAAAAAGTTAGAGTAGCAATAGCCATGGTAATGAATGATTGAAAGAAAATTTGATTAAATTTGAAAATGGTATAATATAAATAAAAAATGATTGCAAAAAAAATAACCAACAAAACAAATAAAGGTAAAACAATAATAATTAACAATAAAGTAATGAATAACTTAAGGAAAATTAGTCTAAGTATTAGACATATATCATCATCACCATCCCAATCGAATAAACAATCGAGGCTTATATAATCTTCAGGTTTAAATACACTAATAAGAAAACCCAGCTCCGCTCCTAAAATCCAAGGAAAATAACGTGGAAATCGTACATATAATCCTTCAATATTAACCTCATCGATTTTATCATTCACTTTAATAACAAAACTTGCTCGATAATATTTTTTATAATATTTGAACGCTTTATTTTTATCCTTTTCAATTCCAATACCTTTTCGATAACAATTTCCAAGGTTATACATGGCAGTGGCATTGTTCATATCAGCAGCTTTTTGATAATGAGTGAATGCCTTATGTTCATCCTTTTTAATTCCAATACCTTTTCGATAACAATTTCCAAGATTACACATGGCATCGGCATTATTCATATCAACAGCTTTTTGATAATAAGTGAATGCCTCATATTCATCACGAACTTTGAAGGTCCATAAACTTACGTTAATTTATGTAAAGAATATTAATACTAGGTAAAATTTTACTA